AACAATTCAATAATAATAATAATTTGTGGTAATAAAGTGGTAAGCTGCCAAAGCAAGGTTGTCTTTACACATATAGCATTAATGAAAGGAGCGGTCAAAGGTCCTGTTGTAACTCTGGAGGCGCTGCAGAGACCCAAAGCTCAGGTTGTCTACAAACAACTAGTAGCTCAGTCAGATGGCTCCTATATAAATGTTTACAGACTTCCCTGTTAGACAATGTTAAGTTAAAAAGAAAAGGAAAACTAATGTTAAAAATAGCCTGAACAAAAAAAACAAAAAAAAAAAACAGAAAAGCAAAGTTTTGTTTCTAGAGGACCTCTTATTGTGGGACACCACCCAGGAAAAGGAGGCTCCGTCTGAATTGTTCTAAAAGGAACCAAAAAACTGAAACCAAACATTTCTACCTGGTTGGTCTCTGAAAATGTTTCCCTTTTCTTGGAGGGAAGTTAAATTAATCTGGGACACAAAGTTGAATAATTAACAAATATCATTTAATATTCAACAATGTTGGTTCAAAACATCCCTGCCCGCCTGGATAGCTTTAAAAACAAGTTCTTAAAAAGTGAAACTTTTGTCTTTAATATTATAAATTGGATTATTTACAAATTCACAGTAATTCCTTTATTTAATTTCTTCTTCTCTGCATATTTTTGTGTAATTCAATAGAGACGCTTCCTGTGTGATGTCATATCCTGGAGTCTTATTTTATTGAGTTGTCAGTATGTATGCTTTATGTTTGCCTGCAGGTCAGCTTTCTCCACCATCAGCAACAAGGAAGGAGGTAGGAAGAGGAAGCAGGTTTAGTTAGCATAGGAACCTTCTTACATTCCTCTAGAGATAAGGTTTCCCACAATCCTTTGCTTGACAGGAGTTAGAGGCACAAGGACTTTAAAGATAATACATTATTTTTCCATGTGCACTCCGTGTGACTCATTATGTTCACACCTTTGTATGTTTAGGGTTTTATATCAGAGAGCGTCAGCCGGTCGCCATGTTTGGGGAATAGTCTGTGTGGCGTCTGGATTCAGCACAGCAGTGCGGAGCTCCTTTCCTAGCCTGTTGACCCGTTAAAGCTGAAGGAACAGCAGGGAGGAGCAACCATTGAGGTATTTGGTTCGATCCAACACCTTTTTTAATGAGTTGAAACACCTGAGTGGCTTTCTGAGATGCTGAGAACATGCATCTCACGAACAACCTGGAAGATGCCAACCTGGTAGGACAAATGTGACATTTGGTCTGATGACTGGATGCTGCCTTGGATCATAGCAGCAATCTTTTTAAGTTAATGTTTAAAATGAAAACCTGCTTGATAAATGTAGAAGTAAATCTTGTTCTGATTTAGAAAAACACGTTTTATAAACCAGATTTATGTAAAATTATTAATGAAACTTAAAGGAAAAGTCTGCTTATATTCAGAACTCAAACTTCTGAAAGTTTTTTAAATCGGAAATGATTCCATCCTGTTCAATAAATGATCAGTGTTTTTAATTCAGAGTAATTTCCATCTGAATGTGCTTTACTGGAGGCATCCATGTTTGTCAAAGAACACTACTGCCACCTACTGGTTAGTGACATTGTCACGGTGCGGTATCGGCTGTTGATCAAGTCCCAGTGCTGTATCTGGTGTTTGTCACAACGCGCTATTATCCAAGTCATCTTGAAAACATTCTTCTTCCAAATGTTGGCTACATATTACGGGTTTTTTCTCTGGCCAGAAGTTCGATGGCAAATCCTCCCTCTTCAAGTTGGCGATCCAACGACCAACCCGTCCGTGGAGGATCAGGAATCAGAAAGGTGGAATAACTCTTTTTTTCACTTTTACCCGATGTATTCCAGCATCCAGCTGCCATGCACGTGGGCATTGTCAGTTTCACTATAGCTCTGGTGAATTTCAATGGTGAAGTCCTCTGGAAATCTTCAATAATTGTTGTTGATTGCAGATGTGTCTAGTAGTTCCCATTGATTTAGCTTGGAAAGCGGGGAGAATGGCGCTAGGCTTACCGCACCGTGACATCACTGCTGGAAGATGGCAGGAGGGAGGGGCTACTATATTTGGGCAAAAATGGCCGCTCCCAGACCCAGTGATCATGACGAAAATTGTTTTATTTTTTTTTTACTGGTTAACACTAAATTCATTAAATCACCGCGAACGTATTAGTTTTAGGCATAAATAATGATCTATTGATTATTCCCTGCTGACCGGACTTCTCCTTTAAATGTAGCATTCTGAGGTGTAAAAAGTAATTTTTTTATTTTTTTTTTTTGAAGGTTATGAACCTGCAATAAATCTAAAGAGAAAGAAAGAAGATGGACGCAAAGACAGAGTCATGTTTGGAAACTGGACAACAACATTAAACCTACAGAGAGTCTGAAGGAGAACATTTTAGATCCAATCATTTTCAGGATTCAGAAAGGCCAAGACCATTGATCCTTAACCTTTACTGTCCAAAGAGCTGCTCCTGTCCTCCCTTTCTTTAGAAAAGACAACATCGTAATTATTGCACTGGAAGAAATCGAAATCTACATACTTTTTTTTAATTATTTTTTTTAAGTGCATTTTTGACTGGATTGAGGGGGTAAAAGAGACATTTTGCCAATGGAACAAGACAATTTACACTTAAAATAAGAAAACACAATTGCATTATCCTATTTCAAGTGCATATTATCTAATTATCTTTAGAGTAAAAATACTCATTCCATTGGCGAACTATCTAATTTACCTACTCAAAATAAGGGTAAGTACACTTATTTTAAGACATTTTTACTTATTTCTAGATTGTTTTTCCAGTGTAAGAGCCACTTAATGTCCAAAGAGCCACGGTGGCCTAGTTAAAGTCAAGACGTCCATTTTCTTTATAATTCCACCAGAGGTGTCAAGTAACGAAGTACAAATACTTCGTTACTGTACTTAATTACACTTTTTAGGCATCTATACTTTACTCCATTACTTATTTTTCTTCCTACTTCTGACTTCTACTCATTACATTTTCACACAAGTATCTTTAATAGTACTTTCTATTTCTTACATTTTTAAAACAAAAGTTACTCGTTACTCTTGGCTTCGGTTTAATGTTTCTAAATCTT